TAAACGTCCTAGGGCGATATACGGAAATGGGGATATACGTAGATATCCTAATTTCCGGTCACGGCTAGAACGTCCATATCCTGCAATACCCGTTGCTGTTAAGGATTTTTTTGTTGTTGCGTAAAAAAAAATATCATAAATATAGTTGTAATTTGAAAATCTGAAACAGAAAAGAAAATTGTAAATATGACTAACCATTTAGTTCCAAAGAATATTTTCGCAGTATACCTGAAACAGAAAATTATAATATTAGTAGGATTATTAAAACTTTCTAAAAATTTACTATTTTAAAACGGGAACATAGTTCAATTGACGGTATATACATACATATATATATAAGCAGTGAAATCGAGTTTCACAGCTGATTCCGTATAGTAGGGGAAATGGAATTACGGATGCATTGAACGTGCCAGCAGCGACATAAGCCATTGGCGGCCGCTTTTAAGCGTCCTTGCAAACTGGTTCTCTGCTCGACTCGATTATGCTAATCGCATATGCATGTTAGCATTTGGCTGATCGCTTGTTCTGTGTGCTCTTCTCTTGTGTTTACCGATATCCAACTCACCCCTATTACCCACTGACAGAACTTACATAGGTCTTCGTATATAAACTACATTTAATTCCACCATTTGTATATCATTCAGTTGAAACAATCTTCAATATTTTCTTTTACTCACTTCATTTACATTTTTTTTCCATTTTACATTCCAATGTTTTTTTTTTTTTTCTAAATGTGAAAAAAAAACTTTTTCTCACGAAACACATTTTATACACATGATGTCCTTCCTGTAACACAAAATTCCCAAATACTTTTCGAGCTAACCTTGAAATATTTTCCCCATGTTTTATAGGTTATGTAACGAAGAATCTGCTATGTATACAGTTCCATATATTTTTTTTTCCAAAATTACCATTTTACGATGTGTTGGCAATTTGAAAGTTAATTGTGTGGGTGTGAAAATGAAGTATGAACGCACTTTTAAAGTATATATTAAAAGCAATCTGTTGTTATAATGCTTCTGTATATTAAGTTTACGACTCGTTTATGTTTTATGACTGTTTTAAAGGCGTGCCAACAGCTCGCACGAGCGCCGTGTCCCATAACTGTCACATCCAAGTGCCTTTTATGGCCCAATAGTCTTTAGGGGCTTTGCGACTGTCCGCGAGAGATACTTATATATACACAATTCTCAACTTGTTCTCATACTATTATTTTCTTTCTCCATTTTATATCGCATTGTGTATATATATATATATACTTGAAAACATGATAAATGTCTCTTTCTCTCAGCATCTGAGATTCCCATATTTTCATTTAAATCACATCATAGAAAAACAACTTACATCAACATTGAATTGTAAATGTTTTTTCTTTTGTAAAAGTTAACATTTTTATATAATTTTTTTTAACTATATTTAAAGGGAAACAATTTTTAAGGGTGTGATAATCGATGATTCAAAGGGATTAATCAAACGTTTAGAACAAAAACCCTTCTTTGATAAATAGAGGCCATCATAGTTTAGTGTGACGTCATCTTCCATAACCAATGATGGCGTCACGTGACGCTCCACCCTCTTTTCAATCACCTTGGCCTGGAACCCACCCAGCTGTCAAGCTCGCTCCACCCCGTTTTTTTTTCATTCTTATCCTGTGCTATCTCTATCGCCATCTACCAGTATATTGAAGAACTCCTTAATCCTTCAAAAACATTCTGACCATTAAGGTTTATGACTTTTCCGGTCGATGCCGCCACTTAACTAGGCCTAAATCACATAACGGGTGTTCCTACAATTCTAGACTTTTAAAATACAATAAACAATTTTTATATGAATTTTACTTTCTATTATTATTTTACCATTGAAAGTTACATAATTAACTAAATTCCTTTTTTTTTAATATAAAATGATGAAAGACTAAAAATTTTCAATTGTAAAGTTTTTTTTTTTTTTTAAAACATTAGGATATGGGGATAAAAAAAAAATAAATATCTGAAGGTAAAGTCAGAATAGAATTCAAATTCAAAGGGAAGGGAGAATTTATACGTGGGACGAAGCACGGCATAGAATCGCTATCGGCGGCCATTCATCAATCCGGGGAATCAATACGCTGGAATTAATGAAAGCGCCGCGCGAACAGCGAGCTAGCGGCCGGAATGTTAATCGCGATCGTCCCGCTTCCGACCCGAGCCTGTTCTCGTGTACAGCAAAACTCCCATGGGTCCATCCCCCCACTCCCTCATCCTCATGCTGCTGAACAACCCTTACACCCCCCCGCCTTGCAACCTCTCACCTATACCTATCTCCATTTCTCCCTCCCCCCCCCCCTCATTCCCCCGAGCGATCCTCGTTTCAAGAGCCCCCCTTTGCCCCCCCCCACCCCCTTTGCTCTCAACCCACTGTCACTATATAGCTCGCCCGATATGTATACGCGAAATACTCGCCACGCGTTTATTCTATTCGCATACGCGGATATATATCTACTTTTGTTTTCGAAAGTCGATGTCACCAGCAGTTAGATTCACGCCAATTAGGAATTCACATTTTTTTAGTTTTTAAATTTAATTTTACAAACGTTTTTAAAATGGAGGAATATTGATAAATTTTTTTTTTTTTGAGAAAAAATGTATAATAATTCTTTTTTGAACCCTCACAGCAGTGGATATTTAAGGATATCCCTTGGATATCGTATAGAATATCAATTTTCTTGCGGTAGTTTGGATATTTCTAGGATATCCTTAAAAGATAACGTTAGGATATACTTAGGGCCTACTTCGGACATACTTATAGGATATACTTAGGATATCCCTATAAAATATACTTAGGATATACTTAGGATATTCTAGGGATATTCTAACTGCTGGAATTAAATGGATATCTCTAGGATGTCCCAGGAATATCCTTAAATATCCGGTGCTTTAAGAGAACAATCAGAATTTTTTCCAACGAAAAAGAAAAGCGTTAAAAGAGCTTACCAAAAAAAAAAAAAATTCGATCCTGCGTCCCTGTTAATTAAATGGTTCCCAATTAAATTAATTTGCTAGTATAATCAAAGCAATTAACCTTTTTCTAAAATGTTGACAATTTTTTTTTAAGTAAAACGATAATTTATCAGCCAATAGGTCACACTTCTTGTTACCAACTCTTTTAAGTGTAATAAAATATAAATTTTATTTACAATATCTCACCGCAGCAATATACATATTGTCGTTTATTTACTTTTTATTTATAATAAATAATTATATATTTAGCTAATTAGTCATTTACTTGTACGTTTTAATTTATCCATCGTTACATTTGTATTAACATATTGTTATTATTAGTTTATAATAAGTTATTAAATATTAAATTCAAAAATTAATATTTATATTTATATTAAATTATTAATATTTATATTATATTAATATATTTAATTATTATTTAATAATAAATATTATTAATAATAATAAAAATAATTATTTTCAATTGATTAAAGAATTGTAAATCAACTTTACACTGAATAAAATTTGATTCCAATAAACGGTTAGTTTATTTATTAAAAATAAATATTTATTTGAAGGAAATAATTTTTTATTCTAATTAAATAAACTGTATTTTGAAATAATAAATTTTTTTTGTATTTATGAAACAAATAAAATTTAATTGACACAAAAATTATTTGCTTCAAGAAAATATTTATTTGATAATATAAAATAAGCGATTATTTGAATAAAATAAATTTTTTTGTTTCAGTGAATGTATATATATATTTGTAACTTTAAAATTTTTTCCTTTAGTAAAATAATATAACGATATTGAGCGAAATCTGTCGAATTTGTATGTGAAACATGTAATCGTCTTCATGCAGATGTTGTCAGTCGGTATAGAAGAATCGAAAGAATCTTTCGCTTATCGACAAGCTACTGGCCCTTTTAAAACCTGCTGACGTTAGTGTTCGTCCTTCTGTTCATAGAGGACCAGAATAAGTATTTGAATTCTTATTCAATAGATTACAATTGTAAACCATATTTTATTCTCCTCAAAGAATGTACAATAATTATATAATTCAATAATTTTTGAATTGTGGAATTATTTTCTTATAATATTATTATAATAAATATAATTTATAATAATATTGTACGAATTATTATAGTATTCGAAATTGTATTTCAATTTCCATAATAATTACATTTATGAAATTAAATTAATTAATACATTAAATAAAAAATATTTAAATATTAATTATTAAATTTTTTCTGATAATTATTAGAAATGATTTTTTTTAAGAAACTAATATTCGAAATTAAATTTCTGTCTTATATATTCTTCACAATGTAAACTGCTTGTATTTATTTCCTTTTATATTATCTATTTCTTACTTTTTAGTTTTTAAATATTTTTAATTCATTTTTAGAAAATTATATTCTTCTTCTCTCTTTCCTTACGTATAAAATTTAAAATTAATATGAAAAAGAAACAACTTAAATCTTTTTCAACTATATGACTATATAATTTTTTTGTCATGTATCCCCCTTTTTTCTTTCCAGACTCATTAATAAAATTCTACATTTTGTAAAAAAAAAAAAAAAATGTTTTTGAAATCCTCTATAGAAAAAGTCTCGTCTTACATACGCATATAAATATTATAAAAAGCCATTTAAATCCCGGAAGATCATCTAATCCGTATAAAATCCCAAAGACGATATTACAGGCAGACACATTTTTGTTACAGCCATGATGAACCTCTAATGATCTGGATTACTCTTGTTTAAAATACAAGTATATATCTTTTTATCCCGCCCACATACAGAAGACACTTATATGCATCACTGTCTGGGCGATGGCCGTCACCGTGACGAGCACGTGTGTACCTCGGCATCTGTCACTCAGATCCTGTCAGTCCCTTCGTATTCATATATGTACCATCAGACAAAAATTTTTACATTGCGAAAAATTTTGCAAAAATTAGTCCTCTAATTATTATTTCAATAAATCTAAAATATTGCCCTCTTATCATGTTACAGGTGCGGCCTAGCGTCGTCAGAGTGCTGGACAAAAAAACAAAAGACGTCCAGAGCGGCTCGTCACTTTGAACGAGGATACCGCACCGAGGGATGAGAAGAACTCTTTTTACTACCAATAAATCCCCCAGGTGTATTTTCAAAAAAAAAAAGTTTTTTTCTAATTGGCTAACTTACGGTTCTGTATAGTGCTCCAGTTCTCCTTTTAGTGGTGAACCAAGTGTGATAATTCCAGTCTCAAATGATTAAGTGATCCCGTGTAACAGTGTGATAGCTATTTATAAAGTGCAAAGGGCAAAATAGAAAAGTGTAGGGCGTGAGGTAAATTAGTGGTTGTAAGTGGTCAGTGTTCGTAGACAAAGAGTACAAAAAGGAAAAATTTAAACAAAAAAATAAACACCAAAACAAAAGTGCAGAGGAGAGAAGAGGTGCGTCATTGACAGTACAGTAGCATGAGTTCGTATTTCGCCAATTCCTATATCCCGGACCTGCGAAATGGCGGGGTGGACAATCCCCATCAGCACCAGCATCATTATGGGGCTGCCGTCCAAGTGCCCCAGCAAAGCCAGTCCGTCACCCAACAGCCCCAACAGGGCGCTGATCCATGTGATCCAAGTCTCCTTAGACAAGCAGTCCCAGCCCATCATTATGGAGCCGGTGGACAACAGGGTATGCCCTATCCAAGGTTTCCACCCTATGATCGAATGGACATTAGAAATGCGGCCTACTATCAACAACAGCAGGAGCATGGCGGCAGTCTCGATGGTATGTCCGGCTATAGATCGACATCGCCAAGTTCTGGAATGGGTCACATGGGCCATACACCAACACCAAATGGACATCCCTCAACACCAATTGTCTATGCAAGTTGCAAATTACAAGCGGCTGCGGTGGATCATCAGGGCAGCGTCCTTGACGGTCCTGACAGTCCGCCCCTCGTTGAATCACAAATACATCATCAAATGCACACCCAACATCCACATATGCAAACCCAACAGTCACAACATCAACAGTCCCAACAGCATGCCCATATGCAACAGCAACAGCACTTGATGTATCAGCAGCAACAACAACAACCCGGTAGTCAAGCACCCACGGCTGCTATGCATCCGCAACAACAATCTCAAACGCAACAGCATCAGGGTGTTGTTACGTCACCGATTGGTCAACAGCAACAGAGCACTCCTCAAGGTGCGGCTTCTGGAAATCTTCCCAGTCCCCTGTATCCTTGGATGAGAAGTCAATTTGGTGAGTTTGTAAATGATTAATTTTTTAGCTAATATATATAGTTCTATTTTTATGGTACAATTAACTGCGGAATGTGCAGAATTTTTAGAGAGTGCAAAACTGATGATTCTGTTTAGCAAATTCTACAATCAGTCAGAATCTAATGATTCTGTTTAGTAAATTTTAAAATCTGTTTAGGCAATTCATAACTAATGATTCTGTTTAGTAAATTTTAAAATCTGTTTGGTCACTCTAAAATTAATTATTCTGTTTAGCAGATTTAACCCTTATGACAGAAGAATCTACAATCTGTTTTGTCAGTCCAAAACTAATGAATCTATTAAGCAGATTCTAAAATCTGTTTAATCAGAAACTAATGAATCTTTTTAGTAGATTTTAAAATCTGTTTAGTCCAAAACTAATGATTCTGTTTAGTGGCATTTACAATTTGTTTAGTCAGTTCAAAACTAATGATTCTGTTTAGTAAATTCTGCAATCTGTTTGGTCAGTCGAAAACTATGGATTCTGTTTAGAAAATTCTACAATCTATTTAGTCAAAAACTAATGATTCTGTGTAGTAAATTCTACAATCTTTTTGGTTTCTACAAAACTAATGATTCTGTTTAACAGATTTAACCCTTATAAGAATAGGGTCTATATTAATAAATCTGTTTAGGAGATTCTAAAATCTGTTTTTTTAGGAAATAATGAATCTGTATAGCTGATTCTAAAATCTGTTTAATCAGAAAATAATTAATCTTTTTAGCAGATTTTAAAATCTGTTTAGTCCAAAACTAATGATTCTGTTTGGAGGCATTTACAATTTGTTTAGTCAGTTCAAAACTAATGATTCTGTTTAGTAAATTCTGCAATCTGTTTGGTAAGTCCAAAACTATTGATTCTGTTTAGCAAATTCTACAATCTGTTTAGTCAAAAACTAATGATTCTGTGTAGTAAATTCTACAATCTGTTTGGTTTCTACAAAACTAATGATTCTGTTTAACAGATTCAACCCTTATAACAATAGGATCTATACTAATGAATCTGTTTAGCAGATTCTAAAATCAGTTTAATCAGAAAATAATTAATCTGTTTAGCTGATTCTAAAATCTGTTTAATCAGAAACTAATTATTTTGTTTAATGACATTTACAATCGGTTTATTCAGTCAAAAACTGATTCTGTTTAGTAAATTCTGCAATCTGTTTTGTCAATTCAAAACTAATGATACTGTTTAACAGATTCTATACTGCTATTTGACAATAGTACCCTAATCTTTTCTCAGTGCTTCCAAAACAAAATTTAGATTTCCAACAATCAGTATTATTAACATCTAAAATTAACAAATAAAATTTTCAATTAAAAATAATTAGAACATTTTTAATAATATTCCAAGAAAACAAAAAGCACAAATCCATATATATACTTGAAACCTGCGATAATCTCCGTCTTTTGAAAAAAAATTTTAATTTATATCCTAGTATTATTTCTAAACGACCGAGACCTGTTGCAAAAATATAAAAGACATTTTACAGAATGAGGACGTGACTTGATTTTGTAAAATTCGTTCAAGGCACATTATAAAGAAACCTTCTCAGGTAAATCAGGTAGCTGTACACGGCTTTCTTTTAAATTTTATGCAACTGTAAAACTGGACTAGATTCTACGGTTTGCAAATCATAGGGTATAATGTCGCCAAGTTTTCTAGACATATACACCAGAAAACCCGAGTTATTTATTGCTTCGACCTTTTAGCCAGAGTATAAATGTTTCACCACGCATTAAATAGACCTCAACAAAAGTTCATTTTTTGGTTCAAAATTTTCTCGACTATTTTCTTTCTTCTTTTCACTTTAGACATTTCTTTATCTAGAATTTCATGCATATTTTAAATTGTTTTTCTTTAACATTCTTTTTAGATCCTCACAGTTGATAATATTTAGTTTCGATTAGAAAATTTTCAATAAAATTATTTTTTTTTTTTTTCGTCTCAAGTGAAATGAAATTAGCTGTATAAAAGAAATTATACATTTTAATATTAAAATACTCGAGGGGGCTGTAAAACTTTTTAAATGAAGAGTGAGTAAGTGAAGAAGTTGCTTGGTGGGGTAAAAGTTTCTTGAGTTTGATCGCGCACAACTTTAAAGAGGTACAACGATTGTGAAGAAGAGCGCAACCCAACTGAGAATTTATGATGGCCATAACGAAGTGATAATAGGCAAGGTCGTAACTCTTACGCAGAAAGATATTGAAGAGGGCTCAGGTTATATAGGTAAAAGACAAAGAGTACAGGTTCTAATATCCCACTGTGTATATGCCCTTATTCTGTCAAACCCTCCCCCCCCCTAACCCCTTACCCATTGGGCCTATATATTGTTCAAATCCCATAAAATTTACTGTCCCTTATATATTGCTCAACCTCTGCAGGTTGGATTTACTTTCTTGTCGCAAAATTCCTCCACTCTTTACACCCTTCAGTCTTGCTTCAACTTCCGGAAACGCGTCTTGAAAATTTATCTTTCGCCTCCTCATTTTCTCGATCAGTGTTTCTCTCTCTATATATAGTTAAACTTTTACTATTTTCTACTCGATTAATTAATTTTAAAAATTTGTTTTAAAATTTTTACTAATTATAGAAAAGTAATTTTAAAAAATTTGTCAATTTTAGAAATTTAGTATTTTTCAAAAATTTAGTTTCAAGTGTTTAAATTTAGTGTTAAATAAGTGATAAGTAATACTGAAAATGTTTAAAAAGGTACATATATATTTTTAATTCGTTAAATTAAAAATTGTTGATTTTATACAATAATTTGATTAATGATTAACATTATATGATTGAGGTTATGTTTAAGATTCTAGATTATCATATCATACAGTATGATAAAATTCAAGTAATTGATAATTAATAAATGAGTGTAATAAATAAAAATGAAATAAAAGATAAGAATAATAAATGGGGGGGAATTATAAAGTCGTCCCATCTCTCGGTTATGCTCGGAAGCAGGTTTTTAAAAGCCGATTGGCCGATAAGAGGTCCGCTACTGGTGAATAGAATGTGTGTGTGTAGGTCCCAGAAAATGCTCACAGATGTCGACACGTGGCTTGTAAAAACTAAAGGTGTGCGTGATCTCGAAATTCAACTGGCACCGAGGCGTTCTCTTTCCCCTCCCTCTCCCCCTTCTCGCGCCATCAAAAAAACCATCTCTTTTCATCCTTGTAAACCGTATACGCGAACGCGTTGCAAAATGACGCTATAAGCAATCTTATGAATTATGCATGACACAATTTTATAGATGCATGTGCGCTGAACACTTATCGCTGAAAACGTCGGGATTCCCTGGACACGTTCGAAGCTTAGGAAATTCTTCGGCATTTATAAAAGAGACCGAATTGACAAATTGGTATAGTTGTCTTTTGAAAAAAAAAAGATAGGGAAATATCGTTGACAGAGTTATAGAGATTCTTTAATGATAAATTTTTCTTTAATGTGAAGAAAATTATTTTGTAGAATCTACTTTTTTAAAACTGTTTTGTACTTATTCTTTGAAACTAATTTTGAAAATATTTTTCTTAACTTTTTTCAAAATATTTTCAATATATTTCAATTATTTCAAATGGTTATTAAATTGTCGTTGAAGAAATGATCAGGGAAATAATAATATATATTATGAAAATAATAGTTCCAAAGACAGAAATCGATAGGTGATAAATAATTCATGGATCAGGCAAATGTTCTAAATCGGTATTATATGGTATATGATAGGGAGAGAAACTTTTGATAAATATCGCCAATTGTGGTCACGGACCTTATGTTTTATGTGAGCAAATTCATTATCTTCAACTCGTAAATTGTAACGATCAAATTCGAACTTATATAGAGTCAATTCGTCAAACGACATTTCGTCATTGTTTTTTCATTGTCGCAATTGCGTGAGAAGAAAATTTCAACGCTTTTTCTTATGTTGATATTAGCATACATTTTTTTTTTTTTTACTAAACTAATTATTAATTATTATTAATTAATATTATTAATAATTAATACTACATAGCAGAAAGAAGTATATTTTAAAATTGTAGTCACTTTTAAAATGTTTAAAATATCTAATCATTTTATGCATCTTAAAACCAAATGCATTTTAAGATGCAGTTGATAACTTTTTTGGAAATATCCTAAAAGTGACTACAATCTTAAAGTGGCTATATACTGCTATCTTGATTGAATTTAATTCAAATAATCCGTTACTTATCAAATAAATATTTACTTAAAGCAAATAATTTTTTAAACCAAATAATTGAATTAAATAAACTGGGACTAAGAGTATTTTTTCTAATTTACAATAGTTACTGTTACCATTTAGTTAGTCTGCTTATTCATTTCGTTAGTAAGGTAATAACTAATTAAATAGTTATGCCAAAAAATGGATTAGTTAAACCAACTAATAAAATAGTTATGCCAGCCAATAAAAATATTTATTTGATAATAAACTAATGGATATTATTTGAATAAAATAAATTTTGTTCATTGTATATTAAAATGCCTACTTTTTTTAAAGAATCTAAATTTTATTTATATTCACAAATTATAAAATTCCGTAATTAAAATTAATGTTTCTTATCAATCACCCATTTGTTAAATTAATCACATCTAATATCAATATACCTACTTCAATTTTCATTCGTAAACTTCAGAAATGAGGTATTGTTATGAAGCAAAAAAAAAAAAAGTGTGATTGGTAGCAAAGGGGATTTTAATATGCGCGAGGTAATTGCGATCTTTCATGAAAAGATTTATGACATCGAGTATGCCCCCATAAATAAGTATGCTTCGCACACACTATAGAGTGTGTAATAACGCTTCCGTTAAATCATGTTTATACACTTGTCGAAATTGCAATTATTTACTTTCTTTTTTTTTTTTTTTGAAATTCTTAATTTTTTTTTTTCTACTTTTAGTTCCCCATCTATTTTTAGGCTATATTTGTCAAAAGTTTCTTTTTTTCTAAAAGACCGGATGAACAGGCCATGTGTGTGTGTGTATGCCATGGACAAAAAGAAGAGGGTCTACCTGACCCTTAAAAAAATTTTTTCAAGAGTCAAAAAATTTGTACACGGTTCTCGTTATAATCCGGCCGTTTGGTAATTTTCGGGCGAGAGATATCGTGCCGCAACGATGGCGGCGGTATACGATATTCAAAAAGGGATGCTGAGAGAGGAGAGACGGAGAAAATGAGGCGAGAGAATCTCGACAGAAGTATATAGAAGTTAAGTTGGTTGGAGGAGAAGGTGGAGAAGAAGGAGGAACGAATGACGATGATGAATGATCCACAGAAACTCGGGTCCGTTCTTTAGGGCCGCCATAGTATAGCCACCATATATGCGAGAAATTAGTGGGAGAGTGTGTCATGAAGGACTTCTCAAAAGATCAGAATTCAGTTTAGATCCTTTGTTTAATAGACGTGAACATGGAAAAGAGCCACACCCTTTCCCTTGTTTTCAGCATTCCATTATTCCATATAGATTTTTTTTTTTATATCTTATTATCCCAGATTTAAAGCCATTTTCCCTATTTCGATAGATTTTCGAATATTTCTTGAATTCTGATGTTAACAATGTCATCAAGATTTTGAAAGGAACAATGATGTCATCATTAGTTCATCATTCGAGTCAGAGAGAGAGAGAGAGAGAGATAGGAAGATTGATACTTCAGCCAGGGTCCATTTGAATGTTGAGGCAACAGCTTTTGTGTCCATTATGCGTGTAGCCAAATTATTCAACTAGAATTTATGGTTACGTGAGTAATGTGTGTTAAGGTAATGTCTTTATTATCAATGAGCGTCTTTAAATTTTCATTTCAAAATTCTCTAAATTATTAGATTCAGAAGAATTCTGTTATGGAATCATATAACTTTTTAAGTATTCTAAAAATACATATTGCCCTTAAGGAAGTAAAGATGTGTTTTCAAAATTTTGTCACAAATAGGAAACTTTTGAGAATTTTCAAGGTTGCCTTGAGATATATATATATATATATTAAAACTTTAATTGGACTTTGCTGAGCCGCGCCTTATTAGCGGGGTTACAACATTCGACTAGCTGTTAATCTAAAAAAATAAGTCCTGTTTATATCCTGAGGCGGCAAAAGTCGACGGGAGAAGCGGAGCAACTAGCCTATAATAAGCGACGGTTGTGTATATGTTCTGTTCTCCGTTCTGTTCCGTTCCTTCATGCTGCGCCAGTGTAAGGCAGACTCATAAATCTCTTGGCATACTCCAGGGGACATTTGATCCTTGCGTAACCCAACGCCGTTAATTTATTGCTCCGCGTTTAAAGTCACCTTCATTCGCGTAGTGCTGGAACTGTTCAACATACAGCCTAGGTTTTCTTATTATCGACCTGCTTCACACGCGCAATGCCTAAAACGTGAGTCAGAAGAAAATATATATATATATCTTCTTTTTTCCTCAACCAAAACTGGGTGGTCGAATTCGTAAACTGTTATACATATGGTACACTGTTCATTTGAAGATGATCTTTGAACTCAAAAAAAAATTTTACATTTCTGCGCTTTTTTGTCATTCTCTTGCTTCCGCGACGGATATTTTATATTATTTTTGATTATATGAAAGTTGATTTTAATAAAATAATGGAAAAAAAATGTAAATGTCAGGGTTGTGAATGTAAAACACGTTCAATTGTTATTCAATCCGTTTGGCATTCACTATCTCTTTTATAATATACGATGTATAGATGCTTTAGCATGTTAAGGTGCAAGAATTAATTTGTCACGTTTGTTTTCTTATTAAAGAAATATTTCATCACGACATTGTTCTATATTGTCTATAGAAGTCTAATTTATAAACACAGATAAAAAAAAGAACATATATATATATGATTTTAAATCATCAATGAAGCAAAATTTTTACGATTTAGTTTTCAAAAAATAAATTTTCTGCTGACGATTGGTATATGGAAAAAATTTCGATGATTCGAAACTAATTATATATACCAATTCTTAGAAACTTGAATTATATATTACGTTAAAATTCACGACTGCCAACTTGGCTCGTTTTTCGTGATTTTGTCGTTTGAAAATTCTCTGGTATGCCTTTGGGCTGTTCAACGCATACAACGATTGTATATATGCATGTATTCAAATCCTTGTTGGTAAAGAGGCAATGCAGTCTCTTTAATTAACCTCGCATGCCGAGAGAGTACAGCGACTCATAATACTGTCTCGTGACGTCTGATCCGTAAACGCGGATGCGCCTCGTCACTTCATCTTTTCAACTCTCTCACGTACGATTGGCTGAGATATTTGCGTTTCCCCTTTGCACCAAACGACATGGCACTCGGTCAATCGACACCATCAGTTTTGTACTAAGGATTTACGAGTCAACTAACCTTTAACTCTTGAGGCTAACTCACTATATACTTAATGGGATATAACTATTTCTGAATGCAATCATGCTCTGAATGCTCTTTACAAAGTCTGTTTGTCATGAGGCTTAATTACCTGTAACTGCTTCCTTTAATTCGATGTGCATACCCATTGAATACACTGCTAACAGGTGTCTATTGTTGACGCGTAGTCTATTCCCAATTATTATTATTATTGGTATAACTTTCTCAGAAGTATTTCATTGTTCCATTGTTTTATATATAAAATGATTAAAATTCTAATTTAAGAATATTATAAGGGGTCAAAAAAAAAATTCTTTGAATTTTATATGATCTATAATTATATCTGAAAAGATCAAGGAAGTGGTTCGTTTGAACTTAATTTTGGGCCAGACAAATGTGGTCCGGACTTTAACTGTTACTCTCTCTCGGGTTTCTTGATTGGGTTGAGGAGGCTATATCTCGTGCTTGCCTCTTTGCCTCATCCCACAATCCTTAAGACATGCACGTCTCTTCTACCATTTCACCACTTGTGGCATTTATCTTCTTCAAACCTATTCCTTCGTCTTGATTAAGTGCTAGTCTGATATTTATAAATGCGTTCCTACCTTCATGAACTTTTAGGCTCAATAATAAAAGGGTTCCTTTTTAGAATATGAAACACACCAAGATCAAAAGAGATATATACTATTTTTTTTCTGTCATTTGTCATTAAAAAAAAAAGATCATCCGATTATAAATCAAATCTGTTTAAAAAAAAAACCTTGAGATTTAGAAAGAGGCATGTTTTTTATAATTCCGTTAGAATTATGAAATATATTGTTTGTCTATTATTAAAAAGCGTTGAAGAGAATAAAATTAAAGGTTTTTAAATTTCGTAAATGTAATTTGATAATTTTAATCTATATTTGTTTGTCAATAAACGATTTAGATTTGCCTACATATGTCTTTATGGTTTTGTGATCTTCATCTAAATCTCGAAATTGACTTGTTTCAATAATGACGAAGTGGCAGCTTGTTCTGTAATGATTGTTCAAGATTGATGGATGACGCTAAAGTCTATCTGATGATTCAAATATAAATGTCATCATTAAGAAGATGTCTTCCTAGAAAAGAATTGATCTCTATTATATCCAAATCTTTAATTCAGAAACAACAAAAAGAGTCTTCTATTAAGTCTTAAGAAAGATTTAATGCAATTTAATCACTTTTATATATACATTTTTTCAATGTTATAATTTCTTTACATAATACAAGATATTTAATAATCTCTTTCTTTTATTTCTAATTTCAATTTTTAAGTTTTGAGAGTCGACTCATATTCAAAGCATATTTGGAAGGAGATCCTTTATACTTTGCCCGAGGGGGAAAAAAGAAGTTTTTTTTTCGTTACATTCGTGGAAGCTGCTTAAGATTGTTAGAGCTTATACGAGGAGCGCTATAGAGATTGGTATGTTGTTAATTTGAGAGCGTTCCCTGAGGAAGGAAGCAAGGGGAGTTTGTTCCCAGCACTACCTCTCTCTCTCTCTCTCTCTCTCTCTCTCTCTCTCTCTCTCTCTCTCTCTCTCTCTCTCTCTTTTTTTTTCTCACTGGATCTCACTCGTTTTCTCCGGAGCTTTCCTCCTCTTCCCTTCTCTTCTCTCAATCTCTTTCCTGTTGGATTTCTCCCTCTCTCTTAACGATTTTCAGCCCCTGAAGAATTCTCCATCTCTCTCTCTCGAGGAGAACCGCCATCCGTCTTCATCGGCCGACAGCGCGACGGGCGGCGTTTGCCTCGAATGCTCGCCAAGGAGTTTTCTTCTTCTTCTTTGACTCTTTTTTTCTCTTCTTCTTCTTCTTTCTCTTCTCATCCCACTCAAGAAATATTCCTTACGGTCTAACCTAACCCTTTTGAGATTATAGTTGCGCGAGGCAACTCTGGGTAAGCACAATTAATATTCTCGTTCGGGACTCATGTTTGCCGGCACCGACCGCAGATCACATCGCGGATACCAACTCGATATACATCATATGTGCGAAGATCGTTGCCCATTTATGATTTTTTTTTTTTTTTTCAGCTAAAAGTCACCGGATTCGAGAATGTATAATAGATCGTTTCCTCTGTGCTATAAGTCGCCTCTTTTGGTGTCGTGTGTGTTGAACCCTCGTGGATTGTATGATTCATAGTATATGAATAGTGAAAACTTTTTTTTGAGGTTAACTTTACAATACACAAAATCATGACCTATATAGTAATCATCGAATCTATAAAAATGAAAATATTATCTATTCTCCATAACGTTTACAAAAATTCGTTTAGGTCATAAACGCTAACTAGAGAAAGGTATGCTTGCAAGTCAAGGCAAATCGTCACAAGATGGCGCTGAGCTTGTCCCGCAGTTAATTGGCGCCAACTTTTAATATTGAAAACTTATTTTTCGCAACTGGTTTTTTAATAAAATTCTTTTTTTTTCTTGCAGAGAGGAAACGGGGTAGGCAAACGTATACAAGATACCAAACACTCGAGCTGGAAAAGGAGTTTCACTTCAATAGATATCTCACCAGGCGGCGACGTATTGAGATCGCGCACGCCCTTTGCCTGACGGAAAGACAGATAAAAATCTGGTTTCAAAATAGACGAATGAAGTGGAAGAAGGAGAATAAAACGAAGGGCGAACCTGGCTCAGGAGATGGTGAAACGGACATTTCACCACAAACATCGCCCCAAGGTTGAGAGAATAACTATATAAGAGGAATTCTCTTTTTTAAAAAGAGGTCCTCTCACAAGGATTCTTCATAAACCTTGTTTCCACTACCTCCTCCCCCACCCCCCGATGACCTCCAAATGACCTCCCCTCACCCTCACAGCAATGACGCTTATCTTGTCGTGTTAATCATGTTGCTCGTACCAAAAAGAAGACGAAACAGGAAGCAGAGGAAAAGTTGCCGGACCAGAGAGGAGAATTAGAAAAAGAAAAAATAACCTCACAGTCAGAAAGAGGGGAAAATCCAGTCGTTACGGGAATGCGCAATTCTATACTATGATAAGAACGGTGTTTAAATTTAAAAAAAAAAAAAAACTGGATCGCATGCTAATCAGAACCGCGTTAACCTCTATTACGTTTAATCGAATGTAATTTACTAAAGCCTATATATAAATATATATATATATAGAGAGAGAGAAAGAGATACGAAAATATACGTAACTTAATGTGACTTGACACGCATCTTTTTATGTGGAACAAAAATGAATGTGAAAATGTATGAATGATTACCAGAGTAAAAGATTGTCGTATATGAGACCTGATATAGAGGAAAAAGTTTTATTATTATTTATTTCTCTTACGTATAGTAAATACGTAGTGTACCTAGAGTTTGTTAGTGTAGATACCGATTATACATTATGTCTCTAGTAGCGGTAGGTAGACGGTTTAGTATCTTAGAGATCGTTTAGATAGTCCTCTACCACCGCGGTGGCTCGGCAAGGATGTAAAAATTCCCGACGTGCCAAGTGTGATCTGATAATGTTTCTCACGGAAGGGAAGTGGGTCGCGGATTATTCGCTATAAAAAGAAAAATAAAATAATTCTCTCAAAAATGCATTTAAAAATTTCCTTTTTCCAAAAAAAAAAAAATTGTTTTACAAATTTTCTTTAACGGAGAGATATATTCAAAAAAAAAAAAAAAAAAAACCCCGTGGAAAATAAGATCTGATACCCAGTGATACGGTGATACGTGTAATCCAATATATAATAGAAAAAAATCGAAAAAAAAAACCAAGAATGAATGCCTGAATGAGAGAAGAAAAAAGAAAAGATCGAGAAATTGACTTCAGTGCCCTCCGGCGGAGCAGAGTGGAACTTCCTCAACGTCATCTCAAGGTCAGTTCTATAAGACTTATAGGTATTTTACTGTGTATAGTAAATAAGTGCACGTTAATACCTTTACTTTCTTATGGAGTCAATCAGCTTTTTTTTATTTACGTATTCCCCCCCCCCTAACCCCAAATAGAAAATTCACCACTTGTGAGAAAGATCTAATTTTTTTGAATCTCTTGAAGGATTTTTATTACTGTAAATAAAATTAAAAATATAAAAAGAATGCGTAAATAAAATTTTGCTTATGAATGAAGAAAAAAAAAAATACACCGACTTGAGATGAATTCAATTTTATTTAAAAATAAAAATATGCCGGGCGTTAATATTATCTAACAAATGAAAGTTTAATTATAATATGATATATTATTGTAAATTATAATATCATAATACATAGTATTATGATTATATATTATGATAATATTTTCATTATAATATTATATTATGATATTATAATGCTGTAATATTTAATTATATATATATATAATATATATAGCTTACCGTTACTAGAAAAAATGAATCCGAAAATGGATTTTTATAATGATCTCGGATCAGTGAGCCTGTAGTGATTATATTTTCGTCCGCTATGCGATTATCGAGATTTCAAAATAGAGTGATATTATTTAGCGAAAAATCTATCCCTGCTCCGCAGACGTGAGGCCAAGTTACCAGTGACGTGAGAGAAAGAAAAAACGAATGAAATTGAAACACTTGATTGCTTTTTTTAAAAAAAATCGTTTTTTGCTCCTAGGTTGAGAATCCCTGCGCTACTCCCCACTCTTTTATATCCAGCGCTCTCCGATTGGACGCACTGTCGAGGAGTGGGGCGTAAGGCAGGGGTTCTCAACATAGGATCCGTAAAACTAGAAATATACTTATTTTATTCTCAAAATTGTTATTTTGAGATGAAAGCAATTCTTTTTTTTTTAGAAAATACATGCTTTGTATTCGTGAGTAAATTTAACCTTTCAAAATAAATGTTCTCGACTTAATTATTATTGTCCAAAGGTGACATTTGCATTAAAATTGAGATCAAAGCACTCTTGTTGTTGAAAGCTTGTAATTATAGCCATTTCTATGGTGTTTTGTTGTCCTTAAAGCGTAACAGCCAATCTCGACTTGAAGTCAACTGACGGGAAATTAAATTAACTGATTCTAAATTATTTTTAATTCACACATACAACTTCTAAATTGGTAAATAGTTATTTATTAAAAATTTAATTTAAAATAAAAACTTTAATTTTTTTTTTAAATACAAAGTAAAATGAATTGAGAGCATCTAGTTAGTAATTAAAAAAAAAAATCAAGTGTTTCTGAAATGAATGGTAAACGAATAATTGTCGGCCCGTTAGTGCAATCGATCTTTAATCGATTGTCAAAGGGATAAATCAAATCTCGGTTGACCGTGACCGCGCCGCGACGAATTTTGTGCTGTGTTGTAAAATTAGTTATCGACACTTAGTTTTTATGATACACACGACAACAATATATACGTAATTGAGATATATTATATTATTATTATTATTATAAATATAGACAAGGATATTCTATTTAATGAAGATTTTTCCAACGCGTCGCCTAGAGTCGAAAAAAAAAAATTATAGTAAACATTCATTTTTTCCTGGCTAAAATTATAATTGTATATCAAATATCAAGGGCACAGATTTTTTTAAAATTAATTTTTAATTGTTATAGAAGAAAAAATAAATTGTACCTCGGAACCTTAAATTATGCATTTATTATTATAATAATATTTATTATTATTATTAGTAGTTTTATAATTATTGTAATATAATAATTAATGTAATAAATAATTTTTAGAAGGGAATTTAATTAAAAATTGATTTCATGAGAAAAATTGAAATAATTATATTGATAACGGATTATATCTAAAAGTGGATTTATAAATGAATCTGCTGCCCTTGATACCAATGTACGTAATATGTGGTCCATAGCTCGGTGTGTCGATTGAGCACGACCAGCCTTTCTTTTCTAAAAGATTTATTTATGTGCTTTTTACCTTTAGAGCGCAACGAACTGTAAAAAAAAAAAAAAAAAAAACCCCGGCCATCGCTCGTTGCAACGTCGATTGCAATTCGAAAAGCCCGCCGGTTTTCTGATCGACCAATGGCGACCGCGCTGTCTATAAATCAACGTTATCACGCTTTCATGAAAGTGCATTTCGTTGAGCGAACGATTTTTTTTTTTTCATCATACGCCCATCGAGACTTCAAACTTGCTCCATTTTGTTGAAAAAAAAAAGATACCACAAATTTCACTAATACAAAAAAATATATTTTTTTGAAAATTAAATAATTCTCATATACATAAAAAAGAGGTTTTTTTTTATTTCAATTGATTAAGAATTAAAATAATAGAAAATTAATTTTAGTAAATTTTTTAATTAAATTATATGTGTTAAAAAATTAGTTTTTAATTATTTTATGATTGTTTTTTTTCGATGTTTAATGAACCAAATCGGTTGTTTGTCTTGAGTTTTCTTCTTTTTTTTTTCTATTCGTATGTAATATGTTTAGAATTTTTAAATCTCGGAAACTTGAGGCAAATAAATCTTAGACCAACGATTATTCTAAAAAGATAAGTTTTTTTTGTTGATTTTTGCAATTTTTTTCTTTTATACATAGAGAATAGTTGTTTAGTTTTTTTTTTTGTTTTGTTGAATATAAACAATTCATCTTGAATTTTAATTGAGCATTAATGTCATCTAATCTATATGGGTCGCTTAATAATGGCATATTGAAGTGCAGGGTGCGGCTCGCGAGACAAAGAGTTAGATTTATCGCCTTTTGAGTCACTATATTGTTGCGCCACCTTGTATATATATATATATATTTATATTTTACGATCTCTTAAAGTGACACTCGAGGAGACAGATTTGCAATAAAAAAAAATTTATAAAAAAAATTTGAAATTTTCAAAAAGTTTTAATTATTTTTTTTTTCGTAATTTTTTTTTACTTTATTTTTATCGATCGTAAAATATCCTTGTACAAATGAGAAAGTGCAATCCTTTCAATTTGCAATGTTGCAAAGAAAAAAAAAGTAGTTTATAAAAAGAAAAAATATTTATAGAGTATATCGAATTTTTTTTTTTCAGGCGGGCTTCGCGAATCGTTACAAAGAGCGATCGTCGCGACAACCGATGTACGTATAAAAAAAAAAAAAAAAAAAAAAAAAAAAAAAAAAAAAAAAAAAAAACAATTTTGTATCCATTTGATCTTAAAAGCAAAAAAAAAATATATATATACTTATCTAGATATTTAAAAAGCGGACTAGGATTTAATCGTAAAAGGTATAAATGAAAATTATATATTTTATCTCTATTTCGAATGAATCGGGGGAAAAAAAAAAAAATTTTTATGCCTATACAGAGCAAAAATGATTAGAAAAATGTGAATGAAAAAATTTTTTGGAAAAAAAGAGGATATAAATGCGTACGTGGTGTGTCATTAAAAAAGTAGCCCTTAACGTAAGCTTAACGTCTAAATTTAAAAAAAAGAGCGTAAGATTATTAGAATTTAAGATATAATGTTGTGCAGTCGGTTGCAGCGGGCGGGGTTGAGAAAAAAAATTTTTTTTTTTTTTAGCTGACACACTGAAAGTTACTGTGACGACCAAACTAATTACACAAATCGAGAAAAGAAATATTATTTTTTCCATATTTTAATTTTATTTAAATTTTAAATTTTTCGAAAAAATTTTAATTTTTTAAATTTACATTTCAAAAGTAGATATATATTTTCGACTCGGATTTTGAAATTTTTTTTTTTTTTTTTTTTTTTTTTTTTTTTGCGGAGAATGTACATAATTTATTATTTTTAATTGACCGCAAATGCCAAACAATTTTTAATATCCCAGTGGAAAAGAAAAGAAAACCCGGTGGAATTTGTAATTTTCATATCGTTCCTTAATTATTATTTAGTTATGTAATATTTATTAATTAAAAAAAAAAAAAAAATGTTATGCGTCAAGAAAGGGGTACTTTTTATTTTCATTGAATAAAAATATTTTTCACAATCACAAATTTTTTATTGTGAACAATATTTTTTTTTTTTTTCTTTTTTTTTTCCTAAGAGCGATTTTTGTGGCAATTTTTATATACCTCTTTGCAATCATTCGCAAAAACTGTCATTTCTTTACGATAATTCAAAACTGGTAACATTTTTTTTAGGAAAAAAAAAATTTTTATTGTTTTTTTTTTTTCGTTGATAAAAATGTCGCGTCCTCGCTCGCGCAAACGCCGAACAGTTCCTGGCCCTCCTGTTTCGACAGGTTTTGCCATTTAGTCGTGTATATTCAATATAGGTCCGATATCTATCTAATTACCTAATTATACGTAATGGAATTACTCTCTCCCGTCTTTACTTCTCTCCAAAAAAAAAAAAAATTCTTATTTTTCTTCTCGCGATTCTTTCTTTACACTATAAATATTACACACTATTAGCCAATCTCCCTTTCGTGATGTAAAAAAAAAACAAAAAAAAAAAAAAAAAAGTAGCAATCACCAATCACTCCTTCCAGTAATTATACCACTTAATTATTTTAAAAAATAATAATAATAATAATTGAAAAGCTTTTTTTTTGAAAGAAATAAAAAATTGAAAAAATCAAATTTTAATTTTATTAAAAGAAATTTAAAAAAAATTTGTGGTATAATAGTGGAAGATTCAAACCGTGAAGACTGATGAACCCGAACATTCGTATAGCAGGACAAACGATCACATTATATTTATAATATAGAAGAGCGAGATGGAAATTTAAAAGATAATTTCACTTTCTGGAGGAAATAAATGTTAAGGCATAAGAAAAATTTATTTTCTGCAGAGTTTGGTGTATTTTGTATATTAAAATTCGAGGCTTTTAAATTTCCATCTTCTTGAAAGAAAAGAAGAAGAAAAAAAAAAAACCCCCCTTTGAGTACTGTCCACTGTACAGGACACACAGGTAGGCGCCCGGTTCTTTTTATATTTAAAAAAAAAAAAAAAAAATTATCGGCAGGGCACCGTGATAAAAGCGACGCCTGACGTTGTGGCATTGAATCGCGAATTCTGTATACGATACCGTGTAGGTAAAGTAGGTACCTGTTTACTAGACTAAAACTTTACGCTAGCAAAAGGGGTTTAGAGACGTAAAAAAACACAAAACTATTTATTATTACCAATGTGTAAACGATATTGTAAAGACGAAGTTTAAAATTAGTCCAAAAACAAAAAAAAATAATAATTAAACACAGATTTAGTATAAGAGATGACAATATAACGAGTGCCGCCACGTCTCTCGTCGTTCGAAAAAAAGAGATACGTAATTTTTTACTACGTTTGAAATGAGTGTTATAATGAATTTTTTTTTTTTTTCTCAAAATGAACGGTCAGTTTCAGCGTTGCCCTGCCGAAGCCACAAACACTAATTTACGAACATAAAACGAAAACGACCAGTTCGAATATAAAAAGAACAAAATCATTTTTGGAAACAAAATTTAAATTAAGAAAATTCAGTTTAATACAAAAAAAAAAAAGAAAAATTCTTTAAATCAGAAAAGAAAATTGAGGCAAAAAAAAAAGGAACTTATATACGTAATTAAGGTACGCCGAGAACGTGAATTTACACTACTTACCGAAGGTTTATTAAGAGATGCGACAAAAGAGGTATAAATAAATGAATATATAAATAAAAAAAAAAAAAGTATATATATATAAATATAAATACGAATATTATTATATACACTAAACGTACATAATTATTTTGTAGTGTACCGCAGTATGTAAACTAAGTGTACACATAAAAATTAAAAGCATGATGATTAAAATGGTCACGACGCTAAAATAAAAATAAAAAAAAAAACGAACGATTATTGTATTATGAATGCGACGACGATGGAATATTATATATATATATGTACGTATAAATATATATATATATATATATATATATATGTATATATAGTATTACCCTGCTATTACGTCGACAAGTCTAAACCATATTGTATTATATATAAGAGTCTGTCCATATTAATAATAATGATTATTAATTATAATAACTGTGTTTGAAAACGAGAAATAAAATGTGGTTGAATATGAATTGTTTAGATTTTCTTTTTTTTTTTTTTATTAAATTTACAATTTTTTCTAATTATCTAATTTAATTAATTATTATCGTACCATGTTAATTTTTCTCTTTAATTTAATTTAAATTAGTTTTTTTTGTACCCAAAAAAGAATATTAAAAGTTTATTTAATTGTAAACGAAAAAAAAAAAAAATAGAATATTAAGCTAGCACCGCGCTAGGTGTAAGTGGTACTGCCAGCATAAGTAGTAGACACTTGTCTCACTTGACGGACAACTACTACTTATAAGTAGTAATGCTATACGCGTAGCGCGATGCTAGTCACGGTAATTTAAATTTTTTTTCTCAATAAAAATTACAAAATTTTCAAAAAATTATTATTTTTATAAATTTCTTTTTTGAAAACTCAATTTAAAAATTTCATTTCCATTGAAAAAAATTCCAAAAATATTTTTTTTGAATAATTATTTATTTTAATTAGATTTAAAAAAATTGAATAAGATTTTTTTTTAATGCAAAAAAAGTTGAAGAAGAAAAAAATTAAAAAGCGCGTGAAAGTTTCTAGTATTTTCAGGGGATAATGATGAAAGTTACGTATATATATATACATATATATATATATATATGTTGCACTGGTTTTGAATCTGCGAAAATCGTCAGGTGGTGCGCCCCTGGGGGTCCATCTGAAGGCAGCCAACTCTTGGAGTTTGCATTCATATACGTATTGCGGCGGAAGGAACCATCGTATATTCCAAGATGGCCTCCACCTCAGAGAGGATTATTATTGGCTAATACGAGGCGAGAGGCTCCGCCTTGGCTCAGGGCTCGTGACGGGATGATTTATTGGATTTTCTGTCTGTTCGTCCCTGCAGCAGAGAACATGCCGTGCCTACTATAAAGGTAGGGTATGTACATATATATATACATGTATACTATCATTTTTTTTTTTTTTTTTTTTTTTTATAAAAGAGGCCTCTCCGATGATATCCTCCAGAAAAAAAAAATCTCTAGACCCACTTTTAAAATCCCATCAAAAAATTTTTTATAAAACCAAACAAAAAAGAAAATTTATTACTATACTGTATGAGACTGTGTGATAGTTGAAAAATACTTTCATAAAGTTTTGAAACAGTTGAATTGAAATTGAAGAAACAAAAAGTATACGTTTTTGTATTATCAACAAAGAAGTATACAACTATCTTTAACAATTAAAAGAAAGGTACTTTTGTTTTATTTATTAACAACAAAGAAGTACTCTATTTTGAACAATGAACACAAAAGGTACTTTTGTTTATTGTAAAAACAAGAAAGAAGTATACTTTTGTTTTCGTAATAAACCGAGAAGGTACTTTTGTATCTTGTAACAACAAGAAAGAAGTATTTTGTTTTTTGTAACATACCCAAAAGGTACTTTTGTTTTTCATAATAAACACAAAAAGTACTTTTGTTTTTTATAATAAACACAAAAAGTACTTTTGTTTTTATAATAAACACAAAAAGTATACTTTTGTTTTTCGTAATAAACCCAAAAGGTACTTTTGATTTTCGTAAAAAACCTAAATTGTACTTTTGTTTTATGTAATAAACACAAAAGGTACTTTTGTTTTATGTAATAAACACAAAAGGTATTTTTGTTTTTTGTAATAAATCCAAAAAGTACTAATGTATTTTGTACGAAAAACAAAAAGTACTTTTTTATTTTATGTGAAGAACAAAAAGTTCTCTTGATGTATTTCATGCGAAAACAGAAAGGTACTTTTGTATTTTGTGCGATAAACAAAAAGTACTTTTGTATTTTGTACGAAAAACAAAATTACTTTTGTATTTTGTACGAAAAACAAAATTACTTTTGTATTTTGTACGAAAAACAAAATTACTTTTGTATTTTCTAAACAAAAAGTACTTTTGTATTTTGTACGAAAAACAAAATTACTTTTGTATTTTGTACGAAAAACAAAATTACTTTTGTATTTTGTACGAAAAACAAAATTACTTTTGTATTTTCTAAACAAAAAGTACTTTTGTATTTTGTACGAAAAACAAAATTACTTTTGTATTTTTCTACGTAAAACAAAATTACTTTTGAATTTTTGTACGTAAAACAAAATTACTTTTGTATTTTTGTACGAAAATCAAA